AGGAGAAAGAGAGGAAGACCAAAGAGGAGATATATGGATGTAGTGAGGGAGGACATGCAGATAGTTGGAGTCAGAGTAGAAGATACAGAGAACAGGGAGAGATGGAAATCAATGATTCGCTGTGGCAACCCCTGAAAAAGGGACAAAGCCGAAAGAAAAAGAAGATTCTTCTTAATAGTTATGAGTGAGTGGTAAGGATGGTGGTGAGAAGAAGAAACGCATGATGACCATGGAAATAAAGCAAGAAATTGTCGACAAATATGAGCGTGGTGCCCGCTAAAAAAAGAATACAAATCAAAAAAAGCAAAAAAATAGAAAAGTAAAAAAAATACACAAGTCAATTCTTAGTTCATGTTAGTTATGTAGTGTACATGTAAGGTACACTACGGAATCAAGTGTCTACATACAGGCCAACTCTTTCCTTCCTCCTTCCCTCCTCCTCCTCCTCCGCACATGCCGCCATTAGCCGCTACTGTATCGTCTGTCTCGAAGGTAAGAACTCATAATTAAAATCACATTTTATTTTATATGACAGGAATCCTTATATACTATAATTTGTGTGTATGTCTCTATAGCAATTAAAAACCTGTTTTTTCCATTGTTATTAGCACTAATAAGGTAGTTTTTTAGAGGGACGGGACGGATTACCGTATTTTCCGGACTATAAGCCACTACTCGAGGTTCCACTGTATAATAAATTATAAGAAAATTATAGCAGCCGACTACGTCAAGTCTACGACGTTATTAGTAACCAATTATCATAATAATTTCTAATCAACCCAAAACCTTAAAACAATTATACCATTATAAAACATTTTATTAATTTTATTTTTTTTTCTATTTCTTTGTTTTCACCAATAAGGTTTAATCATAGTTGCTTCATGCTTCACAACCCAAATAGATCAGCGGATAAACAGCACTGCAGTAACCAGGGTGGGAGGATCATCTTGATCGATCAGACAGAGTTCAACAGGTCAACCTGTTAATACTCTGACCCGTGTCCCTGTTTTTATCCATCGAAAAAATTCAATTCATCTCATATCAAACTGAGCTGATTTTGGTTTTACCGTAAAACCTGCCGTTCGGCATGACGGTGCCTCCATTAGCCAGGTTGGTGAGCTCTCCGCTGGACTGACGGGTGCCTCGATCACTGCCTCTGGTGAGTGGCATCACAGCCTCGTCTATTCCTTTGGTTCCGGGAAGCTCTTTGAAGACTGGGCTCTCCTCCTCCTCCTCGGGTATCTTGTCGAGACTCTCGTCTGAGATCCTGGACAAAGCCTGCTCCTTCTTCAGTTGACCTGAAGGAAACCAGGAGATGAAACTTTGACACCTAAATATTATTTAATAAATATAACTAAATAATAATACATTTTTTTTAATAATAAATACAAACATTCCAGGTTTAAAAAAAATGTAGGCTGTTGCAACATTCCTCAGGCCTCAGGTTTACAAACATCAGCTGATCCAGGCTAATTCCACCACTGACAGACTCGCTGTCCCTTCACTTCACCACACGACACTAACTCAGACATAAGCCTAACTTCTATTTTGATGGATGCAGTTCAACATTCAGATTAGATAACGATAACATCACCCATAATCCTGACAGGAATTCACTGTTCACGAGTCATTGAGCAACAGGTCATGTTGGCCTTGGCTGTATTATGTTCAGTGTTGACATTAAGATGAATGTTTTTGCATTCATCTTAATGGGGGGGGGGATTCAGATTCATACTGATTTTCTTTTATTTCCACATCAGTGGAAATTTTTAACAGCTTTGTTGCAGTAAACACAGCTCCTTGTGTCACAGTTATTTTCATTTACTGCTCCTTCCATTGTTTTGTTTAATCTGTGACGGGCTTCAGGAGCATTGTCCGCTCTGCTGCTGGCTAATTTTAAACATAAAAGAAACACTTTCTGCCCCCTTGGTTGTGAAGCCTCTTCACACTGCAGGTCCCCACTCTCACATATTGTATCTGGTAACTGTAGGAACTGGAGAACCATACAGGGTTTGTCTCTAGGTTTTATTGGATTTGGCTGAAGCCAATGAGAAAACACATCTATTGGCATTTGTTTTGTGTGTGTGAGTGGACAGATACGTACTTGCTATTTTCCTCCTCATCCAAGGACACATGATAAACCAGACCAGCGCTGCACAGACCAGTGACCCGGCTAAGGTTATGAGGAATATGGCCCACACTGGTAGCAGCTCCAACCCCAGCACTGGAGATAAGTAAAAAGTACAAACAGGTGTAAGAAAATGGACATGAAAACTCTTATAGGCTAAAACAGAAATCATGTGACCTCTGTGCTGAGCAGGTACAGCCTGAACAACTAAAATCTAAACTAAAGTTACATAATATGCTTTGAGAGCTGCTTGTAATTTTGTCACACTGTCGAAAGCAATTTTGTGCAGGCAAATGTCAGGGGCACCAGCAATGAGACTGAGATGATAATTTGATGGGATGTTGGTGTCACATGGTGGAGTATGGAACAAATACTGTCAATAAAGAGTACCTCTGGTCAGTACTTACAGGGGGCTCCAGTGTACATGATGGAAAATGTGTTAATCCCAATGGTGGAGGCGTAGAAGACAGGCAGCGCTCTCAGACCGTTGGGGACAGAGTCGTCCTGAGGAGAAAATGGGGAATTTTTTTATTTTTATTTAGAGAGAGTGTCAGAGAGAAACACGGAGAGAGAGGGACAGCCAGACAGACACAGAGAAAGAGAGAGAGAGACAGAGAGAGAGAGAGACACAGAGAGCGAGAGAGAGACAGACAGAAAGAGAGAGAGAGAGAGAGAGCGATTCACAGAGAAAAACAAAGAGAGAGAGACACAGAGAGAAAGAGAGAGAGACAGAAAGAGAGAGAGAGACAGAAAGAGAGAGAGAGAGAGACAGAAAGAGAGACAGAGAGAGTTTTTTTTGTGTTTGGCACCCAGGGGTCCTCCTCTAGTTGTTGACCCCTTGTTGACAGACAAAACCCTGCCTTCTTAGTCTAGCTGTTGCTAGTGTTAATGGCATAAGAACAAAACATTTATATCTTGTTGACAAAGACACACAATGACTCAAGGATGAAAAAAACAAACAAACAAAAAAAACAACAATATTTTGCCATGTGGTCTTAGAAACCTGGGCTGAATATGTTCTTACCTCAGATTCCCAGTGTGATGCAAAGGTATTCATTATATAAATATTTCAATTTCAAAACATTTTTGGTTGAAAGAGCATAACCTAATTCAGTGAAGCCAAAAAAGTTAACCTAAGTTATTACCGTGTTATTATTTAACCGTGCATTAACAGGTTATTGAAAGTGAAAGTGAATTATTTGTCATTGTGACACAGTACATTGCGCACACAATGAAATGTGACCTCTGTTTTTAACCCATCACCAAAGTGAACAGTGCGCAGCTTATAAGCAACCGGGAGGACACCTCAGTGGTAACTTCGCAGGTGGGTGACTCGAACCAGGAGCCTTCCGGACCCAAGTGCACTTCCTTAACCACTAAGACACCACTGTCCTTCGATTACTTAATATTTGCTCATGAACCAAGAAATGTTGGTGATAAAGGTTGTTGTGACTGACTAACCCAGAAACAGGTCCATAACTCAACCTGTAAACAGGGTTTTATGATCTGCACAGGTGCACAGGCATCAATGATCTGCCGCATTTCTTCTCGTCCCGACTTTGACCGAGCGATAACTTCAAAGACAACGTGAATGAGAAAAAAAATTCAGTGAAGCCAAAAAAGTTAAAGTCAGGGCCATGACCTCAGTGTGACTCCGGATGTTTTGTAACTGTTCCTGTTATGTAACACCAGAACTGTGGTTATGGTCACATACAAAACTTCCTATCTGAGCTGAGTCTCTCTCTGTGTGTGTGTACCTGTGTGTGTGTGTGTGTGTACCCGTGTGTGTGTGTGTGTTAAACATTTTCTAATGAATGTATTTTCTGGTTCAGTTATGGGTGAGTTGTAGGAGGAAGTGTCACCTTGTATGTGTGTAAACGAAAGGGAGAACAGTGAAATAGTGAGGTTACAACGAGCAGAGGTGGTGAAGGTTCAGGAGTTTAGGTACTTAGGATCAACTGTTCAGAGCAGCGGAGACTGTGAGAGGTGAACAATAGAGTGCAGGTAGGATAAATAAAGCCCAGCATTGATTCAAGACTTTTAGTAACTTATGTCACAGTTAAAACCTGAAGTTATAATTAGTGAAATGTGGGGAAAAAGATTAGAATTAATATCCTAATCCAAAAATATAAATTCTGTGTGAATGGACTTGATGAAATTGAACTGTCAGGGTTAGGATTTTTCATTGATTTTAATGTGATGATTAATCACATCATGCACAGATCATTTTTAGTGTCAGGAGTGTGGGGGGAGTTGTGGTTAATGAAGTGAAGTATTAACAGTTTTAAGACAGTAGATAAGTGGCGCTTTGGCCCAGAGGCAATGTCTCTGACATTGGTGTGGAATTTGATTTGGGTGGCGGGCATGTAGACTGCTGCCCCCGCGACCCAGTGACAGATAAGTGGATGAAAATGGATGGATGGATGGCAGTAAATAAGTATAAGAAATAAATGAACGACTTTCTTATTTCTTATGTCGATGATATGAAAAACATTCAAAAACACCTGACAAAGGAAACAGCAATGGAGGCGGAGTTTATACTAATTATATTGTACTTCTTTTCTTTTTCTTTCGGCTTTGTCCCTTTTTCAGGGGTTGCCACAGCAACCATCTCTCCCTGTTCTCTGTATCTTCTACTCTGAGTCCAACTATCTGCATGTCCTCCCTCACTGCATCCATATATCTCCTCTTTGGCCTTCCTCTTTTTCTCCTACCTGGTAGCTCCATCTCTAACATTCTTCTACCAATGTATCCACTGTCCCTCCTCTGCACATGTCCAAACCATCTCAATCTGGCTT